CCTGGCTAAAAACAAAATACCCAGGGAAAGCCAATGCTGCCACAGCCACAGCACTGGCTGAGCCAAAGGTTGCTTGCACCCTGCACCTGGCCAAGACAGGGACAGTCCTGGGCACTGTTGTGCTCAACCCTCACCTATAAACAAACTCCTCGTGCCAACCAAACCAGACCTGAGGACATCGCCCACATCAGTGCCACCACAGAAAGATGTTCAGTACCAGAGCCTAAAGTGCCAAACAGAAAAGCACTGCTAAATAGCAGCACCTGGTGGACAACAATCAACACCTGACACTTCAGGGGTTGCTGACAACCCCAAATCCAGCACTGGGTCCCTGACGCTTTTTGGGGTCTGGAGAGCAGCTAACACAACCACAGTGAGGTTGGCTGCAGGAAGGGTTTGAGGGAGCTGTTCCCGAGCCCTTTCACCAAAGGCCATGCTGCACTCCGCTGTTTAAACTTTGTTTCTCCAAGAATAGCCACTTGAATTTTTTAAGCTTTAGCTCAGCAGCTGGGGAGGGTGTGTGGCTGCGGGAAGAGAGGTCTGGGGAGCTCCATGCATTCCTCCTTCCAAACCCATCACCACAAATAGCTCACTCCCAGCCTGGTCTATTTCTGACTGAGATGGGGAGAAGAGTCCTTGAGACTGGAGCAATGGAAAGTATTTGACCCTCACTTCATGGTGGGAAAACTTCTGGCAGAGCCTGACAGACACTGCTCACTGCCCATCCTCATGCCACCCTGCACTGGCTCCACCATGGTGTTGAGGTAAGAATCCACTGAGCAAGAGCCAGGGAGATGTCTCTTGTCCCAGATGGCACTGGGGACATGGCCACAGCCCAGGTTCCCAGCCTACACCTCCAGCAGGCAGTTGCCTATGGTTTGTCTGCAACCAGCTTCTGCCTCCCAGAAGCCAGTGGCCTGGCAGTACCTGTGTCTCCAACTGTTTGCAGAGCCCCAGGAAAAGCTCCTGCTGTTCTTCCCACAACCTGTTCCCCACCCCAAGGGAAAGGCATCTTTTGCCCACCAGCAGTATTCTCTCCTGTAGCAAAAACCCAGCAAGGTGAGCACAGCAGGGAGAACAGGTCTCAGTCCCTGCCCTGAGCTCTTGTTGACCTTTCCCCATCACCACATGCCTACCCTCACTGCTCTGCAGAGCTGGAGGGAGCTCACAGGGCTGCACTGAGCAAACTCTACCAGGGACAGGAGCCCAAGGCTCACTGCCCTCAGCCACAGCCCTGCAGACAGCTTCTGTTGGGCACTGCCAGCAAGTACCTCTGACCAGGTCATGGTCACTCAAGCTGCTCCCAAGCACCTCTTGCATTATGCCACCTCAGCAGAGCAAGGGGCTGCTGCAGCTGAAGCACAGATGCAGTATTGGAGTACACCTGACCACGACTGAGGGTGTAAAGTCCCACGCCAGTCCCTGAGCAGCAGCTATTCCAACCTAGGGCCTGAAGCTCTGGCACCTGTGGCAAACAGAGGCTAAGGCAATTCGGAAGGTGCAGAGCCACTAGCCCATCCCAGCCCTGCACAAGGGTGCTCACCTCCAAGAGACCAGCACTGTGGCCCACTGGCCACCAAGGGAGGTGCTGCTGGAACCTCAAGGACCCAGAGCTCTGCCTACAGCTTTGCTCTGGGCTCTGCTTCCACCCCACTGCTGCAGTGTGGCCCAGACCTGAGCAGCCAAAACCCACCCCACCATCCTTAGCCTCTCACACCATCTCTTCCAGGAACCCTGGGCTCTCCTATCCTGCTCATTACTGCCAGAGCCAGGCCCAAAGTTGGGCTCCACATTAATTCTACTTACATCCTGCTTGCAGCATCCCACCACCCTCTACCCACTGCCAGGGACAGGCACATGCAAGGAGCAGAAGTCCTCCCAGGACCTGCTACTCTCTTTGTCACGCTGATACAACACTGGGAAGCGAGGTCCAGAGGGATGGGGCCACCCTGCAGCACAGGAGCAGGGACAGGCTGCACCGGGTGCAGAAAAAATTTCCCACAAGGCTTGAGCAGCTGCTGCCCAACTTGCTAACTCAGGGTTTGGCGGCTCAAGAGCTGAGCACGGAGAGCAAAGCCCAGTGCAGGGAGAGCAGCTGGGTGAAACGACTGTGAAGATGGCAGAAACATGACGTGGGCACTGGGCAGGGCTGTACCTGGCACACAGGAAAGGGTGAGCTGTTCCTTCACCAGTGTGAGCCAGAAGCGATGCTGGGCAGGGGACTAAGAATGGACTCACCCTCCTGCTCAGCAATCAGTCTCTGTTGCTGCAGGCTCCACGCAGCTCTGCTGCCAAAGTCCCAACACCACGGGAGCAGGAAGCAGCACCCAATGCAGGGGGATGGACTGACTCGCTCCTGTCCAATAGAGCCTCTGCCTTCACCAGCCACGTCCCTCACTGGTGAGCCCCAGTCACGCACCACCTGCAGGAACATGCGCTACGGACTGACAGCATCTACGCTTACAAACAAACATGATCTATGGAGAGCCAGTTGTAAATAAGGGTTTTTTTATTACTGGAAGAAAAAGACCCTCACCCTTGAGGGAACTTCAGAAAGAGAAAGTCAGCTGCTTGCCATTGCCACCAGCTTCCCAACCCCTGATCGGCAAAACCACCAGCACAGACCTCCCCAGCTCGAGAACTCACGGGCCCAGCCCCACCAAAGCAAGGAGCAAGACCTGGCTCTAAGGGGAACAGGATCCCACTCCATGGCTCTTGGCAGCTGAAGTGGAGATTAAAGACTGTTGATGTGCCAGTAGCAGAAATCTGGGTCCAGGATCACCAACATCAGACCCACCACCCACATGTCAAAATCCATCCCTTGGAAATGAGGGGGGAGAGCATGGAGGAGGGAAAAATGCATAAACTGGAATGTTCAACAGAAAAAAAAAATCATCATTTATCTAAAAAGAATAGAAATAAACAAAATGCTTTTAAACAAAATCACAAAATATACAAATAAATCTGGTACAAAATAAATAGGAAAGATTGGAAATCTACAACAAAATTGGAATAATTATAAAATTAATTTGTATGACAATCAGGATATGAAACGTATACACTTCATTCAGGATTTCAGTTGTGCTTATTCAGGTTTATGTACACACATGGAAATACTGTAGTCAGAACACTACAACTCTGAGAACCCAAAGTCATGTACAATATGATACAATTTGCAAAGACCACGTACGATGGCAAACAGGACAGTGGGAAGAGCCGGTTGGAGCGGCTGAGCGGGGTCAGACAGCCGTGAAAATGCACTGTGGAGGGAGAGCCACCACACTTCCAAACGGGGGGACCAAGGCCAAGCCAGCAGCAACTGGGGCAGGGCTTGGGCAGCCAGGAAGGACCCGACTACAGGAGAAAGGTTTGGTGTGAGACCTCTGGC